GCCGCCTCCGCATCGGCCGCCGCCGCGTCCGCCGCCGCGCGGCTCGCGGCCGAGCGCGCGCGCGCGGACGCGGCAGAGGCGGCGCGCGCGGACTCGGACGCGGTCTGGGGGGAGGTGCTAGCTCAGACTGAGGCCGATCTGGAGGAACAGGCTGAGCGGGACGGGGAGAAGCTGCTCATCGCTACCAAGGAAGCTGGGGAGGTGCGGGAGCGCGCGGCTGGGCTGGCAGCGTGTCATTGTGGGGGAGGTGAGGGGTGGATGTTGGGTGGTGCCCCGCTCGGGCAGCGGCGGAAGACTCGGCTTGAATGCAGTGGTCGGTGGCGAAGTCTTTGGTTGGGATGGCAGGGTGGAAGAGGGCGGAGCTGCGGGGCCGCGCCGGGGCGCCTGTATGGAAGATTGGAGCGCTCCTAGCCGAGCCCCATGCACGATTGGGGTGCGGGATGCATGCACATGCGGCGCCCCGCGCAGCATGCCTCTCGCACCATGCAGTCGGAGGGCGCGCCCCCGCGCCTTGTTTGCGCCCCCTCTATTCGTCCCTGCGCCAGCGCCCACGCCCGCGCCCGCGCCCGCGCCCGCGCCCGCCCTTGGGCCCTGCGCCTACGCCTGCTGCTGCCCTTGAGCCCTGCGCGTGCCCCGGGTTTGGTCCCCTATGATGCTCATTTTTGCCTGCTCCTGCGTCTCGTGACTGTTGCTGCTGGTCGCTTCCTGACCCCTACCCCCACGCTCCCTAAACCCTACAACCTGCGACCTGAACCCTTGAACCCTGAAGGCCCACAACAAGCTCAAGGCGGAGCTCAACCTGGTGCGGCGCCAAAACGACAGGATGCTGGAGCAGCGCGACAAGGAGGGGCGCGCCAGGGACGCACTGGCAGCAGAGGTGGGGCCGGGTTCCAGGGTTCAGGGCGGGGCTGGGTCCAGGGTCTCGATCTCGGGTCTGGATCTAGGATCTAATTAGGCCATGATGATTGGGGGATGAAGGTTTTGAGGATCTGCCTGCACATCTCGGGAGAGGCCTGCAAGGCCTTCGCCCGTCAAAGGGCTAGGACCCTACACCTGCTGGCTAGGGGGGTCCTTACGGTCGGGCTCCTGCTGCAGGTAGGCCCCGCGCTGGGCTGTGCGTGCGGCGCGCATGCCTCTGATGCTGCTGCGTCCTTGGAGAGTTCCTCTGCCTGCACTTGAGCGGGGCCAGTTACAGGAACAGGGGCGCCCGGGCCTTTTTCTTCTCGGCTAGGACCTGCTCCCCTGTTGCCCCTCTATGCCAGATCCGCGCCCTCAAGGAGCAGCTGGCGGACGCGGCCGCAGCTGCAGAGAAGCTGCGCTCAGAGGTGGGTCGCATGATACCGGCCAGGTCACCGTAACCCGGCCAGCACACGCTGCACGACGTACCCTGTGTTTGGTGTCTCACGTTCGCTGCTCAGCCGCATTAGGCGCGCGAGACGGGGCGCGGAGAAGAAAAAATGACATTGCGTGTGTTCGTGGTGTGTGTGCGTGTGCATTTATGTGTGTGTGTGTGTTTGTGTGTGTGTGTGTGTGTGTGTTTGTGTGTGTGTGTGTGTGTGTGTGTGTGCGCGCGCGTGCGCGCACGCGCGCAAGCTCATGCATGCCTGTGCCATCAGTGTTGTCAAAGAGCGCTCAACTTGCTCAATAACCAACCGTGCCCTGACCGCTGGGCGCACCAAACGAGCAGGTCGCGGCCCGGGACGCCGCCATCACCGAGGGCCAGGGCTCCCTGGCTGCGGCCCAGCGCCACGCCAAGGATCTGGAGACGCACAAATTTGTGCTGACTCATCGCGTCGACCAGGTGATGCGGGTCACGTGATTACCGCTGCACTCGCGTGATGCCCATGTGTGCTTTACAGCACAGTGCGGTGCGCTAGCTTGACAGCATGCAGCACTCGGGGGGCCACGTTCCGCGCGGCATCATGCGCCGCTGCCCACGACATCTGGTCTGGCCCAGCTTGGCCCCCGGCCGCAAGCCGGGGCGCCGGCACGCGCCTGCTCGCGCACGCATGGCTTCGCTGCAGGGTGCAGGCGGCCCGCGCGTGCGCGCTCGCCCAACGTGATCCCTGCCGGCTGGCATGCGACCCTCAGGTTCTCCGTGACTGCCTTGCGACCCCAATCCTTCGCCGCCGATCCACTGACGCCCATCGAATCGCTCTCCCGCGCGCCCCCGCCGCAGCTCCAAAAGTCGCTGGAGCCGCAGGAGGGCGCCGCCGCCGCCGCGCGCGCCCAGATCGCCGCCCAGGAGCGCGAGCTGCTCGCGTCGCATTCGGCGCTGCTCGCGGCGCGGCGAGCCGCGGGGGAGAAGGAGGTCGCGCTGCGCGCGCTAAAGGGGGAGGCTTGGGGCCTGAAGCAGCTGGTGGCGCGGCAGAGGCAGCTGCTGGACGCGTTTGCCGGGGAGCTGTTCCAGGTGGGGGGGTTGAGCATTTCCTGCAAGCGGCGATGTGTGTATGTGTGTGTGTTGGGGCAAGTGATGTGAGGGGGTTGTAGGCATGAAGATGTGTGGGTGTGGGTGTGCTAATGTGTTAGTGTGCAGGAGGGGTCTTGCCTGTCTGCGCGCAATGAGTCAGGATGGCAAGACCGCATGGCGACAGCCGGACACTCGCGCTTGCCTGATGGTGGCTTGCTCTCCGCCGCGCAGCGTGGTGGTGGTGGCGCCTGCATCCCCCGCCAGTTGCCGCAGCGAGCCCCAGCCTTGAGGCCGCCCCCTGTTTGGCCCCTCCGCGCCCGCCGCGCAGGCCGTATCGCAGTCGGACGAGCGGCCGCCCGGCGGCAAGTCTGAGCGCGCCAAGTCCCTAGAGGCCCTGGTGGCGAAATACTGCAGCAGGTGCGGTGGGGCGTGTTGCGCGTGCCACGTATGATATAGTGTGTGTGGTCGCGGTGACTTCCCTTCGCGGAGGTCAAGTGCAGCAGTGCGGGATGGGGGTGGTGTGGGTGGGTGCGGCCTGTCTGTTTGGGGCCCGGGATCCAAAGCAGTTGGATAACAAGGGGCCGCTAGTGTTTGGAGCCATCCAGCGGGACGAAGCAGCTGGGCGGTGCGCTCGCCGAGCCCGGGCGCGCTCGCGGGCGCGTGCGCGAGCGCCTTGATTTGGACATGTGCGCACGTGCGCGGCTGCGTGGCTCTCCAGCTGGCCGCGGTGACTGCGGCGCAACGCGTGACGTTTCGATGTTGCATGGCGCTGCAGCCCCCGGTTGACAAGGGAGAGCCCTGGGGGCTCAGACCAGCGGCCGCCGGCATGCACGCCCACCAGCTGGCCAACAGCCGCCACGCCTCGCCGCGTGCTGGCCGTGTGCACAGCCACCACCAACCCGGGTCGCAACATTTGCGCCCTGGCCCGCACGCGCGCGCAGGGGCGCGGCGCCCCAGACCAGCGCCGAGGTCGAGGGTGAGCTGGCGCGCCACAACCGCCTGGCGGAGGCGCGCGGGGACGCCCTGGAGAGGCGCCTGGAGCAGGTGCGCGAGAAGCCGCCCCACAAGCCCAGCAATAGTTGACTTTGCCCTGTGCAGCAACGCTGTGACTCTTCACTTCTGCGTCTTCAGCAATCTCGAACACACGGCCGGCCCGCGCACACGCTACGCCCTTGCACTTGCGGGCGCGCAGGTGCGCGTGGAGGCGCGACGGCGCCAGACCCTGGGGCTGCAGCAGAACGCGCAGCTGCTGGCGGAGCTGGGCCACCTGGCGCGCGGTCACCGCGAGACGGCCAGGGCCCTCGGCGCCGCGCTCGCGCAGCTGGCGGCCGCGCGGCGGCCCGGCGCGGGGGCCGGCGGCTGCGGCGGTGAGGGGGCAATGGCTGCGGGCGGTGGGCGGCGGGAGGATAAGCTTTCAGAGCCGAGGGCAGGCGCGCAGGCTGCCGGCGCGGGCCCAAACTTCGACACTGCAGTGGCGCACTTTCCGCAGCAGCAGCAGCAGCAGCAGCAGCAGCAGCAGCAGCAGCAGCAGCAGCAGCAGCAGCAGCAGCAGCAGCAGCAGCAGCAGCAGCAGCAGCAGCAGCAGCAGCGACTCCGTCCACGTCCGGGCTCCCCGCCGACGGCGGGGCGCCTCGCGAGCGCAGGGGTGGGGAAGGCCGCCGCGGCCATGGTCGGTGTTGAGCACGCCAGGGTGCTGGACCTGGAGGGCCAGCTGCGGCACGCCGCGGTGGCGGCAGCTGAGCAGGCGGCGAGGATCGAGGGGCTGGAGGCGCTGCTGGTTCGCCGGCAGGAGCAGCAGCAGCAGCAGCAGCAGGGGGAGGAGGAGGACAAGGAGGGCGGCCTGTCTGGGTCGGACGAGGAGGGAGGGGCGGCGTGGGGCAACCCTGCGGTGATCGGCGGCGGCGGGGAGGGCGCCCGTGGCGGGGCAACGCCCGGAAGGGGGCACCCGGGGTCTGCGGTGGCTGGTGCGCCGCGCGCGCCGGCTCGGCGAGCGGCGTCGCCGCCCGCGAAGGCTCTGGCGCCGGGGGCGCGGCCGGCGACGGCGGGCGGCGGCGGCGGCGGGATGCACGCTCAGCTGCGTGCGCAGGTTGAGGCCTGGCGGGGCCGGGGCTGAGGCTGAAGGTTGGCAAGGAGCATGTTGAGGGCGGTGGGCCTCTCGCTTCTTTGCACTTTGCTGCTTGCCATGCAGGCGCCGCATCTGGTGTTGCGACGCAGGCAGCCAGGGCCTCTCCGACCTCACCCGGGTAAATGATTGGTCATACCTGCGTGTATGATGGGTATATATACATATACATAAAGATTTTTTTCAACTCAGCCATGGAATGCATATCTAAACTCAGCCATGGAATGCATGCGGCGACGAGATTTGATCACCTTGTGGCGCCTGGAGCGGCCATCCATCCTGCACACCGCACGCGGCAGATGTGGCAGGCAGCAGTATGCTGAAGTGTTTTGCTAAAAGAGTTCGGGGTATCCCTGCCTATACTCATCCCACTGGAGGATGTGACTGCGCAAAGCTCGTGGTGACTGTACTCTTGGCCGCGCTAGTGGTCGGGTGGTGATGAATGCCAGCCAACCGGACACCATGCGTGGAAACCACGGGGCGCCCACAGACCCCTCCAGGAGTCCCCACACGAGTCTTATGCTTCGCTGGATTGCTCCTGGCCTGGTCGTGACGCATCAAGGAGCCCGTGGGCTAGGGCCGGGACAGCGTCAAGGCGTCGTCACCTGCCGCGTCACAAGTGAGTGCTGTTGTGCAGGCAGGGAACCCTGGGCACACAATGACACCCGAGGCCAGGTGGCGATTGCACGCGCCGTCGCCTGCCCTCCACAAATTGTGATTTTTCGGAGCTGGTTCATGATTCGCGGGTTTTGGGCATCGCGAAACTTGGCCCACTGCCATTACTCACGCAAAACACGGGGAGTTTGAGGTTTGTGTCCGCCATCGTCTCCGCGCAGATCATACTAGTTCTGCAGGCGCTTTCTCTAAAAGTTTCCAGCGGCCGGTCAGATCTGGGTAGCTGGTTTGTTTCGCTCCCCGCGCAAGCCAGCCGCGCCGCGGAGAATCACAACCGCTGAAGGCCACTGAGTGCAAGTTTTTTATCGTGTGGCAAACCCTGGCCGAGCGGTGTCCTGTGCGTAGCAGCAGCGGTCCCGGGCAGCGGCGAAGCGGGAAGGAGGCGCAGCAATGCTGGCGACAGTCGCAGCGGCGGCGGTGGAAGCCTGCACGCAATCGTATGGCGTCCTGCCATGGTGAGCGTAGCATGAAACGAACAGCAGCATCGCACGAGCCGCAGTCGCGGGCCAGCCTCGGCG